TTACCTCTGCTCTCTTAAAAACGTAAAAGAATATGTGGTGCGTCCTTTTTATCTGCTACCTTCACCTTAAAAAACAAATTAAGGCTTGCTGCTGGCACTTTATTGAGGGAGACAACAGACGCAGTAGGTTTGGAACCCTGGATACTTTGAGAGATCCAAGTTCTGAGGCTTTTGTCTTCAGTTGTCAAGTTGTGGCTAGTTCCCATCCACCACCAGTAGACCAGCTTTTTCTGACTATTGTGCTCTGTCCTTGAACAACCTACTAGTATAGGTAGCTTGTGGACAGTGTAGGGTGACCAGCTGTCCCAGTTTTACCTCTGAAATTTCTGTGTTCAGAAAACCTTGGTCTGGACAGACAGAAAACTGGGATGTTTGTGGTTTGTAGCAATTGTGGAGGGAGGATGAGAAGCCACTTAAAGATGAGAGACAAAAGTGCTTTAGGGTGTTCTGTGTCTGGGTTTGAATCCTGGCTCCACCACCATCTATATACCCTGTTTTTCACCTTCAGTAGATCACTTTGCCTCCCTGGTCTTGTGGATAGCTCTGCAAAAGCAGAGATGTTTCTGTTAGAACCATGTACTTGGCTTCCATCTTTCCATTTATTGGCCCCTTCAGATGTTACTCAGTAGACATGGAGAGAACAAGGACAGCTGGGTGCTGAAGATGCAAACCTAAGGCTCCTGGTTCTCACCCTCCCTGAGCTCAGAGCATAGCGCCATCTGTGTCACCACAGTTGCAGTGGAGCTTCTGCAGCAGTGGGCTTCCAAGACTTTCTGCTTGGGTAGGCCACATTCAGGGCTCCTGTAACTGAGAGCAGCCTCTCTTGCTAGGAGACAGCAGACCGAGCTTCCTAAGGACACCCTTTCAGGCTGGAAGAATCAGCTCTTGACCCGTCAGATTTTGAAAACTGCGAATTTTGTTCTCTTTAAATCTCATTTCCACATTTGGAGTCCCAGCTCTGCCCCTCAAGCAAGTTACCACTTCTTGGGCCTTAGTTTATCTGTAAAATAAGGATCCTAGTGATTCCCACCTCCTGAGTTGTTAGGAAGCTTCAATGAGTTGTTAGGAAGCTTCAATGAGGTCGTTCCTGTTAAGCATTTAGCAGTCTGCCAGCCATGTGGTAAAGAACAAATGGAAGGAATGAAATGATTCCATTTTCCATGTGTCCCTGAGGGTGTCGGGCCAGCTCTTCTTTACCTTTTGCCCAGACTCCAAGCACCTTAGACAGAGGAGCCATATCTCATTGTATTTGTCTATGTGTCTATACCCAGCCCCTGCCTGGTAGATATTAGGCGCTTAATAGTATTGGTTTATGAGCTGCTGCTGCTGCTGATATGACCTATCTTCCACGATTAATAAGGGTACGATAAGAAAATGTATTTGCAAGCACACTGCAAGTTGAAAGTCCTAACACTCAGTATGTCCCCCCACTAAGATATTTATCATAGTGCATCATTATTTGTTCAGTATCTTCTCTGCTCACTAGTCTGTGCACTTCTCCAAAGCAGAAGCTACATCTTCTCTCTAAATCCCACTCCAACGCTGGTACAGTGCCCTGCACCCAGTAGATGCTACTCAGGCAGTTTAATTGAATGCAAATGACGTACGGATGTAAGGAATTGTGAAACTGCTCTTAGGGGAGCAAGAGAGAGCTGGTGAACATACAGTGGTTCTTCTTTCCTTCCTGGTGCTACCTCTGCAGAGGTAGACACTCAACTACTAAAAACTTCTTCCCAGGGGAATTAGGAGATAGAGAGGGAAAAAGAGGAGGGGCAGGAATAACAGTTTCATTATCGGAGTAAGCCTCTAGAAGATAGCAGGGAGGCACAGCTTCCCAAGCTCCTGGTTGGAATTAATGTGATAGCCCTGTAACTTTGTTGTTACCATTCTGATCCTCATGAACTGAAAACTGCTGAAGTGTTTGGCCTCCTGCAGGTGCACTGGCTGCAGAGTCCTGCCAATTTGGTAGATATTAGGGTTCCTCTCCCATGAATGGGCTGTTGAGGCCAGTATTTTGAGGTTCTGGGCTTGGTTGGGTAATATGGGAAGGTAAGAAGTACCTAAGTGAGATCCTTTCTGCTCTGACTCCCCAGGGGGGTCTTCTGTCAGAAGCTCCTCTTTGGCACCTCATTGGCTTAAATGAGTCTGCCAGTGTGCAGGGCCATTGTTACAACAGCTGCTGATGGTGCTGAGAAGTCCCATGCAGAGTCATGTTCTAAGATTGGCTCTTGAAAGTCCCTCTTCTTGGTCTTGAGGAGGAGGTGTGGCCGATGGACTAGTGACTCTGGAGAGGTATGTTTATCATAGGTCCAGTCCGTTGTGTCCTTGACGCCCATGCCTTTCAGGGATCTCCCCTTCTTTGTGCTTAGAGCTGAGACTGCCTTATTCTTCCTCTCTGGGAGGGTACAACTGAGGGTGAGCACAGATTAGCTCCATTTCACTAGGGGTGAGGAAGCCATCAGCAAGAGAGCTTGAAGAGCAAGCTGCAGTGGGGAAACCCAAAGGCCAGGTTTTCAGAGAATCTACTGGGGATGCCAACTTGGTGCTGGTCAGAGCAGGAGCTGAAGTGCTTACTATTTTATAATAAATACTAATGAAATTCTAGATCTATAATAACATTTAGATATCTAAAACAAACCATGTGCTTGTAAAAAAGTGGAAAGAGATCAACTTTAAGCCATAAATTCTTGGTAATAGAGGGTTTTTTTTTCTATTTATGTTTGATAGATATTTTTGTTTCCAGAGGAATGTCAACTCCTAATTTCATAATGTATCATGGGCTTAAGAAAATTGAATTTAATAAAAGCCAGAGATGAATGGCATCCTTAAAGGTCCCAACACTTGTCTTTATTAGCAGGACAAACTGCAGGTCTCCAAACACTGCTTCTCTCCAAATGAAAGTTTAAATGAAAAGTACAGTTGTGTCACAGGTTAAATCTCATTGTGGGCCCAGCTAACATTGTTAGTGAGGAACTGGCTGTATTTGTTCTTTAGACACCAGGGCAGCCAAACTCACCAGGCAGTGGAGCTCCTATTGGGGAAGTGCTGCTTTTACATAGTGGGAGAAGCAGGATACATCAGAAATTCGGGTGTCAGATGATTCCCACTTCAGAGTTAGTGCTTGGAAATCTTGGATATCTGGTTTTTCAGGGGGCCCGATATCTATCTATCTATCTATCTATCTATCTATCTATCTATCTATCTATCTATCATCTATCGTGTGTGTGTGTGTGTGTGTGCATGCGTGCATATGTGCCTCCATTTTATTTTTCAGCACAAAATTGTCCATCAGGTCTGCTAAGGAGTGCTTTGTGAGGAGTGAGAGGGGCCCAGGGAATTGGGGGATAAGCCCCCCCTTCAAGTTGCAAGGAAAGGTATCACCTACTCTAATCAAAGCTGGGGCCTCCTTGCCATGCCCCCTGTGGCTCAGCCTTGTTACCCTTCCTATCTCTGGGGGCTCCTGTCAGCCTCCCCATTTTGGGGGATCAGCTGGGGAGACCATGCAACCAGAACCTTTGGATTTTTCTGCCTTGATTTGGTCTTCCATCCTGCTTTAATGTGTTGGATAAAAACAGATGCTTTAAAAACAAGCCCGATAGTCATTCATAGGTGTGTTTGAGGGAGGGGCTACCTGGCTGCCCTGGGATGTCAAGGACATTGGCTGTTTCTCCTGTCTTCCCACTCGTCCACATCCTGCACGTGGTCAGGTGTCAACAGCTTCTGTGCTGTTTCTCCAGGCTGTCCCTGGAGAGAACCAGTTTGCCTTGATTTTAGTGGTACTAGAAAGGTCCCTTCCAGACCTGGGGACCTGGGGTAGGGATGCTACTGGAGCCGACTGCTGGGGCCACAGAGTGGGCAAAGCCCCCCTTCTCTCTCTGCATTGGAGGCCTTTTCCACATGCTAATTTTACTCGGAGGATTTTGCTTTTATTTATTTTTTTTATTATTTCCTATTTGTCTCTTCCAGATGTTTTCAGGGCAGTTTTTTTGTGTTGTAAACTAATTCCATTCATGTTTTAAAAATTTATGAAAGCGCTAATAAAAATGTCAAAGTGGTAAAAATGTTAGCTTTTCCTCTGCTTTGATTAAATTTTGCAAACTGTTTTTGAATATTAAAAAGCAATAATTTTTTTTATTCTCTCTCCTCACTTTCCCTTTTCTCTCTGGTGCGTGTGTGCTCTCCTGCCCTTTCCCTCTCCCCCCTCTGGTGCATTCCTCCCTTCCCAGGAGCGATGTAGGAGGCATACTGCACAGCCAGCATTCTGCAAGCCTGTTTGCACACCAGGACCTTGGTGCTGTGCATCTCTATTAAATAACGGAGACAAATTAATCTTAGAGACACCAAACAAATTGTCACTCCTCCTCTTTCTCTTCCATTACGTTCCAGTGGACTGGGAAGGGCTGGCTAAGTGATTGCGGGGAGCATCCTGGGGGAGGGTGTACTGCCTGAGAGAAAGGTGGGAGGCATTAGCTCCTATTACTCTTACTCATTTTGCTTCTTCTCTTTAGTATCCCCTTTGGCTTTATTTATTATTTATCCTTTTTTTTTTTTTTTTTTTGGAAAACGAATGAAGAAACTCATCGGTTCTGCTTAAACTTTCAATGCAGAAGGCTCTGATTGGTCTTATGGCTGGTTGTCTAGGTGACTGGAGATCCAGGCCATTCAGGGCAGAAGGCTGAGCAAGGGGAAGGGGCGGGGCTACTTTTATGGGCTCCAGTGAAGGCTTCTGGCAGAGAACCAGTTGGGGTAACTGGGGCAGCTTGTACTACTGTCTTCTTTCTCCTTTCCAGAGATGGTGGGGATCTAGTCCTGTCACCTGTGAGGGTAGTAACAGCAGGAAGGTTAGGGTTAGAGCTAAGCTGGCACCATCTTACTCAGTCTTGGGTCTGGCTTGGCAGGAGCTAATGAGTCCAATACACTGTGTCATTCTTGACTCTGAGTTATTTGAAACGGTTGGTTAGAAAAAATCATATTCTTTTTCTTTGTCTTTGCCATTCCAGGAAATCATCGAGTTCCCCATCCTGAAGCTAAATGGCCGGACCATGGAGATTGAGTCTACCTTTCACATGTATGTCCAGCCCGTAGTCCATCCACAGCTTACTCCCTTCTGTACAGAGGTAAGGGCCCTGGAGCTGGGCAGCACGGGCTGCTGGGACAGGAGCCTTTGGGTCACTGGTGCACCATACATGCCACTTTGGGACAGCTTTAGTCCTCCTAGTGGTTACGACAGGTGTGCACTGGACCCAGCAGTTGGCCTTTTACAAAGTCTCTCACTTCGCTTGCACCACTGTGGTCACTGGGGACCCAAGGAGAAATAGCACAATCTGTCCCAGCTTTCCCAGTGTTTTCCCTTCCTTATAGTCCCTGCCCCTCCTGGTGACCAGGCACTTGGAGTGGTGCACCACTGCAGGGTGGTGGTTCTGGGAATCAGCTTCTTTTCAGTTCCATTTCCCTTGGCGCCTCCTGATGAGAGGTGAAGATTGCAGCTTCTTGGAAGGACAGGTTATGTTCGGGCTCTCTTAGCTTCTGGTGAGGTTTTCCTGTCCTTGAGCAAAGCGGCCCTGCGTGAAGCATTGATTGAGTTTGTAGGAAGCACAGCTCCATCGTTGAAGAAAGAGAGGGCAGGCCAAGTGGGGTATGAGGCTGAAACGTCCTTATCCTTATCCTGTGCAGGTGTTGTACTTGGCCAGCCAGCAGGTTAGTATTGGCCCCATTTTACGGATTGTGAAATTGGGCTGAGATCTTGATGCTTGCTAGGGGGCTCAGAAGAGCTAATGGAAGCAAGGAGGTGCCCCTGAAGAGGTCTTACTCTTGAGACCCTCTGTAACTGCCTTCTCCCATGACCTATCATGTTAGGTACTCTGGTAGCCACAGGCTGTGGTGGAATCATAGACCAAGTATGTGTGGTAGTAGAAGTCATGGGAAAACATGAGTGTTTCTGGAATGTTTTTAAGAATTTGGGGCTAGAGTACATTTGAGACTTCGTGCTGTCATTTAGAGATCTTTCTGCATATGAGTGAAACATGAGGGAGAAGTTCTTGAATGATCCCAAAAAGATTGTCTTGGCGTGGTGAATGCCTGCCTGCCACTGGTGGGAGGGCCCTGTGGGCTCTGAGGCTGCCTTAAGCTCAGATACAAAGTTTCAGGGGTCACTCCTGAGCTTGATGCCAGTGTTTGCCACCCAACCCACACAGGCCTTTAGGTGCAGGAATCCATCTGCCAAGGTGTGTAGTCTCTCACCCCCTTCATTGTTCCCACTAATGTTGAGATTCCTGCTCCCTCTGGGATCTACCCTTTCCCCCCTTGCCCCTGGACATCACCTGTACCACCAGGGGGCGCTGATCTGCTCTTTTTGCCCCTTGTGGGAAAAAAAATCACCACTTTAATGGTGAAAATCGCCTTGTGGAAAGGGAAGACTTTCCTAACTTAAGCCAGCCAGTTACCTGAGCTTCCACTGGACTGAAAATGGAGTATCCTCTTGTGGTTCTCTTCCTCTTTGTGAGCGGATTCCCCTCCTGGGGGCTCCAGCTGCAGCTAAGCTGCGTTTGGGAAAGGTTGCTAGTAGCTATTTAGGGATGGAACTCAGCCCCACGCAGGGGTGATGCTTGAGAGTATTGGGGAAAAGGGATCTTTTTGAGGTCAGGGCTGCTGTTGCTGCTGCTCTGGGAGAGGGGAGGAGAGATTGTGAGACTGATGAGAGTTGTATTTCTTTTTTCTGGAAAGTTTCACTCCAGGAACACATACATAATTTAGAGGGCAGGCGGCATGGTGGGGTTGGGACTGTTGTCCTGAAGCCTTATCTGAAAGTGAAGGTGTAACTGTGGCACCTAGGGTGCCGTTTCACCTCAGGCTTCCAGAGCCCCCAACTCTCCCTGCCTTTTTGTCCAGCCTCACATCTCCCTGCTTCATGCCCTGTCACTTCCCCCACCTAAGGTTGCCCCCTCCCAGTCTGCCTGTGCACATGATACTCTTGCCTAGATGCTGCTCCCACTCTCCTCCCCCACCCCTGCTTGTCCTCTAGGACTTGCTTAGGGTCACCTTCTCTGAGGAGCTTTCCCTGAGCCCCTGGCTGGTCCCACCACCCAAAGCACTGATCAGATGCATTATACTGTATTTATTTACATGTCTCCTCACTAGACTGTGAGTTCCTTGAGGGCAGAAACTAGATCTGATCCATCTCTGGCCCATCATTAGGGTCTGGTGTCAAGTAAATGCTTAAGACGTGTTCCTTAAATGAATGAGATGAGTATTGTCAAAGAGTGTCCAACAATACCTTGTTGCCCACTGCCCTACCCCCCCCCAAGTAACTGTCCTGCTAACACATTCTTTTGAGTAAGTGAACTCTTCTCAGATCATCTAAATATTATCCTGTCTCCATATCAGATGGAGTTGTAATGTCAAGAGAGGCATGGACACAGGATGGGGGCCTGTGGTCCCCACAGTGGTGGGACCTTGTCCAGTGTGGCAGTAGCTGCCTTTGGGGTAGAGATAGAGATCATCATAGTCAGAGAGAATCTTTCCCTGGTGCGAGGAACAACCCAAAACCTCTGGGTTGTGCCTAAGCAGCTCCTCTAGTAGAATTTTCTGTTGTGCACAAGCAGTTCTTAAGAACCCTGGCCTGTGTGCGTGTGTATGCATGCACGCACGTGCACCTCTGTGTACACACAGGACACCTGAATACCTATATAAGCACATGATTGTGGGGGGAGAGACAGGCTCAGTTCTGGGCAGCAAGAAGAGGGATTCTGTGTCTGCAGCCCACATACAGACACTCTTACTGCTCTGTGTAATGGACATGTTGTTAACCTTCTTGAGATCTCTCCTAGTTCCAGTTGACAGTCTGCCTGGAGACTCGTTTCTGACAGAGACGGGATGGGATAAGTTTCATCCCTTCCAACCCCTTTCCCTACCACCTCTAGAGTCTACTCCAACCTGTCAGATCTCTGCCTGTAGCAGCTGGGCTGCTGCACAGTCCCTGACCATGTGCAGTCTTTTTTTGTTGTTGTTGTCACTGTCTTGAAAAAAACTAGGAAAAAAATTTACCAATTTTGCTAAATGCCAGTAAAGGGCTTTGTCTTGCACCTGTACTTATAAAGGGTGAGATTTATTGGTCTCTTTGTCTGAGGAGAAAGAGTGGGTCTGATTATCAGATTGCACACCAGAGACAAGTGCTTATGTAATCAACAAACTGTCTTGGTGTCAGAATACGATTGTGTTGGAGATAAACTGAAAGGAGAAAGCACTGGATGCTGACATGCTATTGGCATTGAGTGTCCTGGGCTGCTTCCTGTAGTTGCTAGTGTTTATGATGAAGCCAGCTCGTCCCTGGACAAAGCCCTTGTGTGGGCAGGGGATCTCAGTAACCAGTCATGTTATCAGTCCGGGTCAAAAGCCTCTCGCCTTGTGGTTTCCGAGTCTGGAGAAGCGGGAGTTAATCTGTAATCCCTCGGTGAAAGGAGCCACAGAGCACACATTAATTCTTCCTCTCACCTCTCCAGCTTTAAGTGGTTAAGGTCTTTGAGCTCTGTTTAGCCTGTGAGCCCTGGTTCTCAGCTTAATAATACTTGGCTTTGCTCTAGTACCTTTCATTGTGAGGATGTGAAAGCTTTTTACAAATATATATTAACCCAAGTGGGATTGGGTTTAAACTGCAGCATGAAGGATTTAAGTTATGCCTAAGGTAGAACTTTCCAGTATTTATTTTTTTAAATTGGCTCTCTCTTTCATGGCTTCTTGTGTAAGTCTTAGAGACATCTTATAAGTTGTCAGTACCAGGTAAAAGGACTCATTCTTTTTTTTCTTTTTTAAAGATTTTAAAAAAAAAATTTATTCATGAGAGACACACACAGAGAGAGGCAGAGACACAGGCAGAGGGAGAAGCAGGCTCCATTCAGGGAGCCCAACATGGGACTCGATCCCGGGTCTCTAGGATCACACCCTGGACTGAAGGCAGCGCTAAACTGCTGAGCCATCGGGGCTGCCCCAAGGACTCATTTCTTAATTTCACACTCTATTCATCTAGTGCCTTGGAAGAGCCAGCAAGATGTAGTCCATCCTTTGGAAGGATTCATATGGGGAAGTAAGGCCTCCCCCTGGAAGAGTGCCTCTAGCTGAACCAATAGTTCAAGCCCCTGTGTCTCTGGCGATTGAGTTCAAGCCCTCTAGGAGCTCAGCTGTAAGCCATGTCTTGCTGAACCACAGGTGGTCTAGAAAGCATGGAGAGAGAGGGAGCTCAGGCTTGGAGAGGCTCCTCCAGGCTGGTAATTCTAGGATTGCTGACCAGTGGACAGGAGTGTGAGAAAGCCCCAGGCCCCTGGAGCCCTACCACCTACGGTGGAAGAAGCAGGCCTAGTCTGTAGTGAGAGACTGCAGAGCAGAGCTCTAGTTTTCCTTTTTAGGGCAGTGACTTTCTTTCCCCACATTAGTGATTTTCCTGGGGCCCAGAACAGGTGCTTGTGGGATACACAGATGCTGACCTAAGGCCCATCTCCAAGGAGGGGGATCTCTTGGCAAGGGTGCCATTGGTTTCTTCTGTGAGTGAGCCTTTCTGGAAGCCCTTCAGTGTTCAGCTCATCCGAGTGACCCTTGCATGGTGTAGGAGTCGAGAAGTGGTAGACCTAACCTTGCCCCACAAGACTCAGACTAGATGTGAGACTGGCACACAGACCCCAGAGCTTTCTACGTAAGAGTGGCTGTAGGTTTTCCAGGATAGTCCTGACCCTAGCTGTAAGCTTGGGGATATGGCTTGGCCCTGGAAGAACTAAGCAGGAGAGGAGGAGGGCCAGGAAGGGCAGTGGTGGGTACAAGGGTGCTAGTCAGTCATCTGGGTGTTCACCTGGAGTCAGCCACAGCCTACTCTGGACTCTAGCCCCTAAGTGCCTGAGACAAAACACAGACACTGCTGTGCTATGACACCGCCTGCTCAGTGTGGGGCTCTGGAAGGTGTACAGGCTTTGGGTGCTGGCTGGGCTGGGCATAGAGGGGCTGCCAAGAAGAATGCAGATTCCATGAGGCAGGGATTTCATGTTTTTCCTTACGACTAGATCCCTAATTTCTGGAATGGGGCCCAGCACATTGTAGGCTGTCCATGAATAGCTGTTGACTAAATAAAAGGAGAAGTCTTAGCACTCCAAGATTAAAGCCGCTGACCCAGAGCTCTTTCTCACCCCTCATCTGCTAGCCCCACTCCTAGCCCTCAGTGGACCAACTTTTCTTCTCTTTGGCTCAGGCCCTCCCTCTGCTGGGCAGTTCTTTGGTCTCCCAAGCAAAGAAAGGGTGTGGAGGTGCCAGCCGGGTGGGCATGCTGTGGGTTAAAGCCTTGCGAAACAACAGTGTAGTTAATCTTTCTAATTTATTTTCCTTTTAGACCATGGGAAGTCTGTAGGCAGCAGCTGTTACCCAATTAAAATACAGATTAATATAAAAACAGTTTCTGGAATATAAAATAGAGTGGCTGTGTCCTTACACTTCCTTAAAATACCACCTAATAATGACTTGATGAACTACAGAAACCCACCTAGAGGAACTCAGCGTTCTTAAAATGAAAATTTCTTCCCTAAAAGGTGTGTATTACCATTCCATGTAAGTCGCTATGAGAAAATAACCTTCCCTCTTAGAGCCAGCGGTTCCTGTGAGTTGGGTATTTGATATTCATTAAATGTAATTATAGTTTAATTGGAGTTTAATCCCCCCCCAACACTTAAAAAAAAAAAGAAGAAGAAATTCCCCAGCAAGCCTGAGATCTTACTCTCTGTAGAGGTAGCCAGGGGCACATTGGACATGGTGATTTCCAGCTGGGTCCAGGTCTGTGGCTAGGGGCCTCCTGCCTCAGATCCCTGAGGCAGTTTGTCTTTGTCTGTGTTCCAGGGATATTTTCACTTCAAATCAAAACAAAGCAGAGCAAAGTAACAAGCTTGTTTGAACCTAGGCCTGACCTGGGTCGAGCAGCCTGAGTCAGTTGTTCTGTAGACCAGGTTCCTTTATTAGGTCTTTCGTCTGAGTTTCCCCATCAGTTAAAGGATCCTATTTCCTGCTTGCCTAGTTGGTATTGAGGGCCCAGGTATTCAGGGTAAAGGGTGGATGCCTGTGGGGCTCCCCTGGTTCTTCACTGATGTTAGAGGAGGAAATGCTGGACATTGAGACCCAGAGAAGGGGTGGACTTGAATCCAAATGTGGCTGCCCTAAGTTCTACAGGAACTTCTGTGAAGCTTGGAGGTAAACTTTAGATTCTAATTTGGAGGGATTTATTGAGCCTATTGAATACAAGACACATAACATCTTTTTTTTCCCTCCCAAAATGAAAGCTGAAATAGGTATGAAACACACCCTGCAGTCAGCATATAGATGTGTTTCTCCCTCTCGGGGCAGGATATTGTGGGGAAAGTTCACCCTGTGTCCTGGGACTTCATTCCCAAGGCCTCTGGCAAGTTCTGAGCTGAAAGCAGTGCAGGCCAGGGCCTTTTGTAGAATGAAAAAGGAAAGGATCCAGTCCGGCTTTGAGACTCTGCACCCTGCTGTTCCACCTATTGGCTGTTTCTCTTTCCTTTCAGCTCACCGGGATTATTCAAGCCATGGTGGATGGTCAGCCAAGCCTGCAGCAAGTGCTGGAGGTAGGTTGAGTGACCTTTAATTCCTGACCTCTGACCCCTTCCTGCTGCCTTTCTCTCCCCCCTCCCCTCCTGAGAATGTAGCCGTGTAATTTGACTATGATTATGGCTTGATTAGAATAACATTTGCTGTCACATCAGTGACATGCTGTTGAGAGTATCGAACCATTGATCTGTCATCTCCAGCTGTTCCCGTCAGGGTTACTGGCAAGATGTCCGAGTGCTGCCCCGAGTTCCACACAGGCTCCCACCCCCTCCTGGCCCCTGGCCCTCTGCTGGGCAGCCCAGGCAGCCTGGGCTGGGCGGGTCGGGAGGAGGGGAGCTGAGCTATGGCACTGCAGAACTAGCCCTGGGGACCGAAGGTGTTTTTGTTTAGCTTTAGTGTTGGCTTCCTGTGGCATGTGAGCACTTCATTAACTCACCCAGAACTCCCCATCGATGGCTTTTGTTTGCTGTCAGCTCCTCCAGGAGGTGCGGCTGGGCCCGCCTGCCCCACTGCAGCTTGCCACTGGATGCATTGTGCCTGTCAGGGGTGCAGAGGCTGCACTGGGTAATGATTCCTAATCAGAATAATTACAACAATTGCCCATGTGAAGGAAATCAAATTAAAGGCTTTAGAACCCTTGGCAGAGACCACACTTCTAGGATGTTCTCCTCAGGGAGCTGGAAAAGGTTAAGACGCTGCTTCTTATGCTCCAGCCTGAGGGAATAAGGATGGGCTGCGCTTGGCCTCAGCTTGGCTCCCACCCCTTTTGGCCTGGGGGTTTGCATTGAGGGAGAGGATCCCTCTCTCCCTCCCTCCTCTCTAGGGGGAGGGGAGAAGAGAAAAAAGCCTGTGGATCTCATTAGGTGCTTTATTTATCTTTACGACTAGTTAACCCAAAGCTCAGTTCCTATCAAAGCACAGGAGAAAGCAGAGTATGGGGGGGGATAGCAGGACACATCTGCATTGCTGGTATTCAGCCTAGAGGAGGTTGGGTGGTGGCAGGGGAAGGGAGGAAGGTCTCTTTATATAGCCAAGAGGCCCTGTCCCATGGGAGAGAGAAATGCAGACTGAATTTCCTGGGGTTCCCCAGGATGGAGTCAGGTTTAATCTCACCCAGTGGCAGGTATGCTCCCTAGGTTCTGTGACTGGTCAAATTCTGGGTAGGGTTAGTGTTAGGGTACCTGCAATAGGTTGGAAGAAGAGAAGATGAGCTCTGAGGTGTCTCCCAGTCCTACTGACCCTCTTTTTTTGAGGGGAAATTCACTCCTATTATTGAGGGGTCTCCTCCACATTGACTGCTCCCTGTAAGACTAGACTCAAGGAGAAAGAGGGGACTCATTGTTTCCTATGGTCCAGGCAGGGCCTAGCCCCTGAGGGAGACCACATAGCAGGCAACTATCCCTTGGAATGTCTCTGGCCAGGATCCTAAGAGGAAGATGCTTGCTGTAGGTCAGCACTGAACCAGAGCTTTTGAGGTTATGGGATTTTTTTTTTTTCCTCCTCAGTGGTACTGGTTGAGAGGGAGCCTCTTGAGGAGGCTTTCTCCTGCTAACCTCAGGCCAGGCTAGAGCAGGATGCTCCAGGGATTCTGACTCTTATCCATGAAGCTGTCTACTATTTCAGCATACTTTGTGGGTGAAGAGGGAAGGTTCCTGGTATCAGCCTGAATAGGGAGTCTGGCAAGGAGACCAGAATGGGCTCTGCTTTGTCCTATTAACCCTGAGTTGGTCATACATCTAAAAAAGCTGAATTCTTGTTCTAACCAAGGCCTTGAGCAGGTGGCCAGCTGGATTTTTGCCTGACTCATTTAGTCCAGGTAGGACCCCTGCTAGACGTAGCTGGGAGGGCTAACCCAGCTGGTTGGGGGTTGTCTTGGTGATTCCTCCAACTGTTTATCCATATAAGCAGAGTAGGGAAGGAAAAGGACAGGCTTTATTCCAAATGTAGTATCACTTTCCTGGACAGGCTCATAGCACAAGGTTTTCACTAAATATCTGTTGAATGAGTGAATGGCGTAGGTCCTAAGCTTCCAAGGACCTCTGTGAGTATTAAGTGCTTCTCATGGGGAAGGCCAGGTCTTGCTGACCAGGCTCCTGACAGTCCTGTCTTGCTCTCTTTTCAAAGACCACCTTGTAGGACTTGAGGCATTGGGGAGCCCCCCTCTACTGCCCCAGTTGGGGCATTTAACACCAGTGAGCTGGAGCAAGGTTAGCTGATATAGGAGCTCTAGGTTTGCCTTCTTTTCTTATATTAAGTCTTAGAAAGGATACATGAGTGTGAGTGTGTGCATGTCCTTCAGTGCAAGTGGGCCATAGCGGCTGGGGAGACAAGCCATTCAGTAGCAGAAGGTCTAGAATTCAGCTTGCTGGGGAGACTCTTGAGCTGAGGGGGGATTTTCCTGTGTACAGACTATGAAGAGGTTCTGCACAGTCTGGCTCGAGGAGCAGCTCTGACCTCCTGGGAGGTAGGACAGCTGTAGCCTTGGAATGACCTAGGATCCTTGGTCCTACTCAAAGACTGCTTCGGCGTGGACGAGGCCTTCAGGATATCTGAGACATCCCAGGGAGCCAGCCTCCACCTGCTAGAAGTGATCTTACTCAGGATTTCAGTGGGCTCTCCATTATGTGCCCGAGTCTTCACAGTCTGGCCCACCTAGTCCCCAGTGTCATTTCCTAGCCCGCCTTTCTACACATTGGACATGGGTCACACTACTCCTAACTCATATTTCAGTCAGTCAGCAGGTATCTGTTGAGAAGACACTGCTGGGGTTAGGGATTGTGACAGTGAGTTAAGACAGAAGTTCCTGCCTTCATGGTGCTCGTAGTCCAGTGGGGAAGGCAGACAGTAAACCCATAATTGCTTCTCAAATACAAAATGATTGTGCCCGTGCCTGTGTCTCTGCCTATGGTATCCTTTGCTGTGCTCCATCCACCCTGTCAGGCAGACCCAACCACCAAGTCCCTAGATCAGTTGTCTTCTTTGTGAAGCCTTCCTTCCCAATTCCTTTCTCTGTAAAAGGTAGAGCTAGTCGCTTCCTCCTCTTGGCCCTATAGCATTCTGGTCACTTCTCCATGGCTGCATTTATTATATTGTATTATGACGATCTGACTTTCTCTCCTCCTCAGCCTACTGTCTATTTTGTGGTAGCCATTTAATACATTATTATGTTTAATTCTCAAAACAACCCCATAAGGTTAGTCATCCTGCCTCATTTTATAGATGAAGGAAACTAAAGTTCAGAGAGGTTAAATGACTTTTAAATGACTTCCCATCAGTGACACAGTCAGGATATAGAAGAGCCAAGGTTAGAACCCAGATGTGTCTGACTTTCAATCCTGCATTTCTAGCTACTTTGCCATGTAGCCTTTAAAAACTAATCCGTCTGTGTGAGTGGAGTGGTAGTGATCTGCTGTACTCTCACCCCATGCCTGGGATCTTCTGAAAAATAGGCAATGCTTCCTGAATGTTTTATGATAATTCTCTCATTAAATACTGAGTTTAGTATTTGTACTTCCAATGTGAGTGCAAATAATAAGACTGATCAAAGAGATGAAAGATATACTTAAAGTGTGTTTAGGAGCTGTTTTATCTCTTAGTCTAGAAATTGAACTCAGCCTTCAAAAGGTTCCACCGAATTTGAATTTGAATCCTCAACCAGGAGAGGAGAAACATAAAAAGTCTGGGGCCAGTTTATGAGCTTTCAGCGACTGAAGTGGAATGGGGTTCCAGCCCAGCAAGAGAGCTTTTTCTGCTAGACTCACAGTGAAGATAAACTTCACCATCATTTGGGGGAATAACCAAATTCATAAATTTGGTTAATAAACCTTTAGTGGGAGGGTGAAATGAATAAGTGAATGAATGAACCTGAGGATTGGAGTCCCGTCTTGGGGCCTCCTTCCAGCCTGTTCTCATGGCCAAGGGCATCCTGTGTCTGTGCTAGGCTTTGCTTTTGAGGGCCGACTTACTGGGATATGTCCTTATCCCATCTGGAGCAGGCTGCTCGGCAGTGGGCAGTGGAGAGGTTCCCTCCCCCGACTCACTCAGGCTTGTGTATCTTCCTGTAGGGATCATCCTCCTAGTGCTCCCATAGCCCTGAGCCAAGGCTGAGAGCCCAGAACGGAGCCATGGCTGGATAAGATTACAGTTTTCTCCTGCTCTGATTACAAGCAGCTTATCTGCGTTTCACTGTTGTGGCTCTTCACAGACTTGGGAAGAAAAAAAAAGGAAAAATCTCATCTGTTCTTGTTGTGTACTTTTCAGAGGGTCGATGAGTGGATGGCGAAAGAAGGCCTCTTAGATCCAAACGTCAAGTCAATTTTTGTCACCTGTGGCGACTGGGACTTGAAAGTCATGTGAGTATAAGAAGGACTACTTTGCTGACAGGGCTTGGAATCAGTGGGACCAGGTCTTGCCTTTTGCAGGCTTACATGTCCAAGCCTACAGGGCAGCTGGGTCAGAGAGTCCTTGGATCTTTGGGGCTGCCAAGGTGAGAAGAGGGCAGGGAACCCTACCTTCTGCCTCTGGAGCAGGGAATAGATAAGTCAAGGACCCTACTGGGACTGCTATTGTTGGGGCCTTCCTGCCTTTGCCAGGTCTCACTGCTTAGGACAGCCCTTCCGGTTGTGGGCTACATATTGTTGCCCTGGAAGGGAAGAGTTAAAAGCAGATCTTTTTTTAGTGTTTACTACCCTTAATGCTTTAAAAATAGTAACACATTTAATAAACCTTGGTACTGGGGATCCCTGGGTGGTGCAGCGGTTTGGCGCCTGCCTTTGGCCCAGGGCACGATCCTGGAGACCTGGGATCGAGTCCCACATCGGGCTCCCGGTGCATGGGTCCTGCTTCTCCCTCTGCCTGTGTCTCTGCCTCTCTCTCTCTCTCTCTGTGACTATCATAAATAAATTAAAATTTTTAAAAAAATAAAATAAAATAAACCTTGGTACTTTTGTTCCTGTTTTATAGATAAGGGAATTAAAGCACAGAGAGGTTAAGTAACTTGCCCAAGAACACACAGAGCTAGGATTCAAACCCAGGCAACTTGGCTCTAGGGTCCTGTCTTAACCATTACGCTGTGCCTACCCTTTTATCTGGGGAACAAGGCCCTGATGATTGAACTGCAAGCCCTATAGTGGGATGAGAGAGGGCTGCTTCTAGGGAGCTACCCAATTCCCCAGCCTCCTTGTTCCTCTTTCGTTCCCACTGCTTTTTCTCCTTTGTCTCCGGGTCCTGCCCTGCTTATAGAAGACAGAACTGGTTCCTCTGCTGGGTTGACACTTTTGCCTCTTGTCTATCCTCATGGATACCTGGCTTCAGACAGCCCCCAGGGAGCTAAAGTGGGGTGGAGGTGGTGGGGGCACTGTTTGCTAAGGATTGATAGAATCGATACCTCTGTGTTCTTTGTGACCGAAGGCAGCTGCAAGCATTCTGTGTGTGTGTGTGTGTGTGTGTGTGCATGCTTTTGTGCATAGGTGGGATATTGTTGGGGGGTGAGGAATAGTAGCTCTGAGGTGACATTTTCTACCAAATAGGCATTGTCTTCTCACCGAGGTCCTTTTTTATGCCTTTTGGATGCTGGATGTTGAGGTGAAGTTAGGCACTCAGGTGGATGTCAAGCCTGCTCTTGGACACCACCTCCCTAGGTGACAGGAGGAAGAACAAGTCCAGATCACATAAACACACCCCTCATTTCCACACCCCTCAGGTCGTGTACACACGTTGACTGCATACCTCTAGGTGTGCACACACGACTCCCAGAGCTCCAGAGGATCTCTGTGTTCCCAGCTGACACTCATGTGTCAGGGAAATTACAGAGGCTGGACCTGGAAGCAGATATGCATCAGGGGAGGATTCTATGGAGAAGGTGAGGAGGAGGAGGCTGTTGCTCTTATTTATGGCATCCTGGGCAGCTCTGAGTACTTGAATCTTCAGAGAACGGATTTACGTGGAGCTCTGCAGCATATAAGAGAAGCTCTTTGGGGTGGGCAGGGTTCAGGCTGATACCCAGCACCTGGGGCTCATGTAGCCCAGTCCAGAGGCCCAGTTTCTCCAGATAGCCTTCCAGGACTTCCATTCTTCCAAGTGTTTTTCACTCTTTGGTGTGTTTGTATCCCAGATACTCACATTTCAGAATCTTCTGCATTAACTGTGAATGGCATGTCCATATGTGTGTGTATATGAAAACTTCCCTGTGCGTCCACGCGGGGATTATCTGGTCGGCCTCCTAAGTTTGGATTTGGTTTCTCCATGAGGAGAGGGGGATTTTCAGAGAGTGCTGTCTTTGGGTCTGGCCCATTCTGGCCTATAGCACCAGTTCACCTCAGTAGGCCTAGGACAGATTTTGTTGACTCTGGAGGCTGCTTTGCATCTTCACAAGAAATGGTGTAATCAAGAAAAGGGATTGGGTCAAAACATACAGGAAAAGAAACCCCCACCCCAATTTTTTTTTAAATTTTTATTTATTTATGATAGTCACAGAGAGAGAGAGAGAGGCGCAGAGACATAGGCAGAGGGAGAAGCAGGCTCCATGCACCAGGAGCCCGATGTGGGATTTGATCCTGGGTCTCCAGGATTGCGCCCTGGGCCAAAGGCAGGTGCCAAACCGCTGCGCCACCCAGGGATCCCCCCACCCCAATTTTTTAAAAAAAGATTTTATTCATTTATTTTAGAGAACAAGCATGAGTGGGAGGGGCAAAGGGAGAGAATCTCAAGGGGACTCCACACTGAACGCAGAGCCTGACATGGGGGCTCCATCCCAGAACTCTGAGATCACGACCTAAGCTAAAACCAAGAGTCAGATGCTTAACTGACTGAGCCACCCAGGCACCCCAAAACCAAATTTTAAAGAGCATGTACCAAATTTCATTCAGTCCTCCCAACTATCTTCCCTGGTAGAAGGTGATACCTCCCTTTATAGATAGAAAAAAAACCAAAACAAAACAATTTGAAACTGAGGCCCAAATTGGTAGACTCATAGGTACACAGAATTGAATTCTAAGACCACGTTGCTTCTAAAAGAGCTGGGTTGGGCAGACTTTGGTAGCCGGTTTGGGTTTGTATTGAAAAGACCAGTGAAGCTCTAAAAAAGAATATGCAGGAAGGAAGCAGATGTCAGGTGGCAGGGGCTGGGGGGAGGAGAGCTTTGTGACTGCCTTTTAGAAGCAGGAGTCCACATAACTGCTGGGAAGGCTCTTAATTAAATGTGTAACAAAATAAAAACAGCCAGAGAGGAAACCTAAGTAGTGCTTCGTGACAGTGCACAGCTTATCGGTGTTCCTGGAACCTCTCGTCAGATGGCTCTCATCAGAGCCATCACCTTTTTATGCGTCTGGTAAAGGCTGCTGAGGAGCCTGACAAGGGTGGTGTTAAATTGACACCCGCAACTTGTTAGTATGGGGCTTACTTCTTATTTTGACATCCATTTTCAGATTTAACTAAGTCTAAGGGATTCAAATATTTTCATTTCCCACTCTAGTTTCCTGGAGCCATGGCTCCTTCTCGTTGCTGCCCTTCCCCTCTCTCCCAGCACCCACCCCCAACCAGCTTCACATCACTTTTGTTGGAAAGGGCCTGATTAGTGAGCCAGTGAGAAATGGGAACTGAAGTGGCAGTGGAAATCCCACTGGAGAAGAGAAATCTGCTCAGGTCCTGACAGAATCATTTTGTGTCCATCTTTTGTCAAAGCCAGATGAGTTGATACTCTGTGGGCTTTGATGCTATAGTCACAGATCCTGCTGAGGTGGGTTTTAATTTAGTGGGCACGGATTTAATTTTCCTTCTCAACTTGTTTAAGAAATGACATGACACTTGTTATGGCTTTGGTGCTTGGTCAGCTTGCCTCCCCTACCTGACCTACCCTTTCTTTGCCTTACCTTGTGTTCTTGAAGCTCTTCATGGCATTTACTGTTCTTTCTCCATTTTTTTCTCTTCTCTGCCTACCCAGGCAGGGAATGTCTCTGTAGAGGGGTTCCATCTTTGACATGGCAGCAGAGATCTTGCTGGAAGAAAGCAGTCTGGACATATACTTATTTATACATGAGATTGTATTGTGTCTCCCTCTACTTGTCCTTATCACTAGATTGTGGGCACCATTATAACCTTGGATAGTGTTTGGCACTTATTAGTTGTTCAATAAACGTTTGTTGAATAAATGACAGCTAAGTAATGGAGTGCGCTTGTGGTATTTGTACTCAGGAAGAACGTCAGAGGATTAATGGAAGGTAGATTCAGGGAGAATGGAACAGGAGAGGAAATCTTGGGCCTTCCTGTACCAACCTGAGTGTGAGGGGTTGGAGAACTATGCTGCTAATGCCAGGTGGCTCCTGGATTTTCCCACGCCAGCACTGGGTGTCGGGTCCTCCCTTCATGGTGGGTACTGGGTGAGATGGCCCACAGGCCTGGGTCGTGGAGGAGTTTGGTCCTCAGCTGGCTGAAGGCCTTTCTCAGAGATTTGTGCCTTCCAACACTGAGGGCTGGGATTGCTCTGGGGACATTTATATCATAAGAAAAATAGCATGTATCGAGCGCTTATTACATATCATATCAGGAGTCTGCTGTGCTATTTATTTACACATCATCTCATTTAATTCTGCCACAATACTATGAAATAAATTCTTTTTATAACTTTTTTTTTTTTTTAAATGATGAGGAAACTGGAGCCCAGGGAGGTAAGTTTGTCAAGGGAACACAACCAGTTTGTGGCAGGGATATGAACCTAGGTAGGCATTCTGACTCTAGAACCAGCGTGTTTAACCACTATGCCATCTGACCATCTGCTTCTGCCCTTCATGGCCCATGACTTTGTGATGATAGGGGGGATGCCCTTCCCGCTTTCCTTTGTTTGCACTGAGTGGCTGACGTTCTCTGACACCCTAGGCTGCTGGTACCCCATGTGGTGTTGGTGGAGGTCTGGACTGTTACGTGTATTTTGGTATGGGGGCATGGTTGGCCAGGGGGTGTGGTGAGGGATGATTTGGGGCTGCTGAGAGCCTCCTTGATGAGCTACAAATGAATGAATCCTCAGATCTGTTTTAAGGAAACCACTTCCAGTATCATTTTGGATACCTCTATCCTATAGTATGTCTGGAAGCATGTGGGGGACCTCATCATGTCACTAAGCTCATGAAAGCCTTACCCCTTGCCCATGGGTGTGCCAGTTGGTCCCAGCTCTGAGCTATATCACTTCTGATTAGCAGCCTGCTGGGGGAAGGGGCTTGAGTAAGAACTCCCTGGCAGTTCTGACTTGTCTCATTTCCCGATACTTTTATCTGTCACTGCAAGTGCTTGAGCTCCCCTCCTGAACTAATTAAGTTTGCATGTGTTTAGACACATTGCCAAATAGGGCTTAGCAAAGCGG